TATCTCTTTTGTTTTGAGACTTTAGTCTTTGCAACTTCAGGGATCTTATCTATTCACAAACAGCTTGTAACACTTCAAAGAGAAAGGAAAAATTGAAATCGCATCATATGACCTCTTTAACATAAGGCAGCAACATAAAATGTGAAAAAATGAATGTATGAATATATTCGCAAGGCATTGTACATACAGTATATAAGTAGGGATGTAACGATTAACCGCGAGCCGGTTGAAAATGTGTTATATTTCAATTTCACAAAGAAATGTGCAGCATTTTGTCCAAGCAATAATAAAAGGACACATTTAATTTATAATTTGTCTTAAATATCATTTTGTTAAAAAATAATAATCGTGAATCGAATCGAATCGTGAAATCAAAAGCACGAATCGAATCGAATCGTGAGTTGAGTGAATCGTTACATCCCTATAAAATAGTATAATAATGTAAAGTATAAATATTAAATAATTTATTAATTTATTAACATGGTACTTTTTATTAATTTAATAATATTAATATTAATATTAAATTGTAGATGAACTTTGTGGGCTCCTGGCGGTCATGGGAGCTCCCTGTGGGAACCTTGTGGACATGGGTGCTTCTTGTGGGTACCTGGCTCCCTGGGGCAAAAAGGTTTGATAAGGCTTCTGTTGCCTCCACTTTCCTCTCTTTGGGAGTCTGGTGGGTACAGATGCTTCTTGTAGAAAAGGGGTGTGAGGTTTCTTCTGCCTCATTGTCTTGATGGATAGGGCTCTTAGATGGTTGTAAGACAGATGATCCCAAAAATGAATGACGCAAAGGTTGTGCAAGATTTGTTGTGTATGCAATAAATAATATCTAGATCTGTGAAACCTTGTGTGAGAAAAAGAGAGTGAAGAGATGAGTTGAGTAAACCCAAAAGAGCTTGGAATTTTGTTGTGGGGTCTTGTATAAACGGGCCAATTTTTATTGAAGCTGTGTAAAAAATGGGCCATACTACAGTGTGACAGCTCTTAAGGCTTGCATGCACTGAAGAACCTGAATGATGAATGGATAATAACTAATGGATTCTGATTGTTTTGTGACTACATGCACACCGGCTATCAAAATCCTATTCAAAACCACTCACCATATTCATTAAAATAACTTATGTACATAAAGACTTCCTAAGCTAGAATATTGGTAACTGTTGGTAACATTTTTCAGAGACACTTTTTGTTGTTATAAAAAAGTCTATGCTCAGACTGTAAAAGAATTCCACCCATTTCAACTTAAAAACTTAAGTTCAATTGCTGCCTTAATTTTTTTTTAGTCATTTCAATTTAAATGTCATTAAACTGATGAAAAATCAAGACGAATTTCATATAACTTTCGTATAACTTAGAAAATTGCTCAACTTATTTTGATGAGTTAAAGTAGGCTACTAGCCTAATGTAAAAGCATAAGGTGCCATCATGACTTACTGATAATATCATTTGTAACATTGTGTCTCAAAATACAGATTACACATTTTCTTTCAGTTTGCATTATTTTTGAATTAAAATTTTTTGAACACCAAACAGCCACTTGAAGTGAACTGTAAGGTGAGTAGATTCACTGTTTTGGACTGCTGCCTCAAAAACGCAGAGTACAGAATGACGCACGTGTGCATGTTCAGTCTATCGTTGCATTATCTTATAGTATTAAAAGAAAATAATAATTGCACAGTGTATAGCAGTCTTTAGTGTAAATACAAACACTGAGACGATTTCATTGCCCTGTTAAAACAGAGCTTTCTTGGAGTCATAAAAACATCCCCAAACCCCACTGAAGAGGATACTCACGAACGCTCGCCGACTCCCTACAAAAATGTAATTTTGTCTGCATCAGATTTACACTCACCGAACTTTCTATGGAATATTCGTCACGCTACGTCACAAAGGATTCCTTAGCAACCACACATAGTGCTCAATAAACATTAAATTGAAAATAAAACAAACAAACAAACAAACAAATAAATAAATGCAAAACAAACTCAATGCTCAATAAACTAACAGGTTTGTTAGTGATGGGAGTCCTTGGCTGTTTTGTTCGATTAAAGCTGGAGCTACAAATATAGAAAGTGAATATTGATTTTTAATTGGTGATGTAGATTTGCTTCTGACATTTGTTTTTCTTTATGCGTAAAACATTTCATGATTTTTCTGAATAATACATTATGCATAAGTACAATGTAAATCTGTCATTGAATGTTGAACTGCAAATCACCTGATTTTATCATTATCAATGGATCCATATAGCAGCATATAGTATTTTTCCACTTCAAGCACTGGTTATAGCTACTTTAAATATACGAAGAACATTGGTGCTGCTAACACTTGTTAAAGAACTAAATGCACCTTTAAAATGATAAAAAATTGTTTTCACATTTGACATCACACCAAATAAAGAGATTTTATTCAATAGGCATCCATGAGAAAATGACAAAACATTCTGTAGAATAAATTATATATCAAGAAGTATGCATTGCCCGAAAGACCATAACTACTTGCAATTTTATATTCCATGTACCACAAGCATAAAAAGCCAGTTCAAATAGATCATTGCTGTTGTAGATCCCAATGAAAGCAGTACAGAAATAATCTGTTACATTTGATATTGTCACTAATAGCTTTGTAAATTCACATCGAAAATATTCTTTAATCAGTGATATTACAGTCTCTTGTTCAAAGGGGCATTTCCCCCCTTAATAGATTGTACTAGCTGATCAGGTAAGTGCATTAACCTGTCACTAAATCACAGTATTGGAAGTATCTGTTGGCACAGAAGTGTGGTGTGCTCAGAGTTTCACGTCCTCACTCACATCTGATGCTGAAGATGCTGAAGATGATGACGATGAAGAGGATGAAGACGACGATGACTAGGGTGCAAAAAAAAGTTAGAGTTAGTAGCTCTTTCAGGATTTAGGACATGGCTTGTATCCTTAAAGGAATAGTTAATAGATTTACCTCAGAATATGACAAAATAAAGGAAATCACAATATACACTACCACTAGAAGTCTTTTATGCTCACCAAGGCTGCATTTATTTGATCAAAAATACAGTTGCAAAATATTATTAAAATTTTAAAAAGCTGTTGTAAAATGTAATTTATTCACATGATGTCAAAGCTGAATTTTCAGCATCATTACTCCAGTCTTCAGTGTCACATGATCCTTCAGAAATCATTCTAATATGCTGCTCAAGAAACATTTCTTATTATTATCAATGTTGAAAACAGTTGATAATGCTTAATATTTTTATGGAAATCGTGAGACTTTCATAATAAAGAACAGCATTTATTTAAAATAGAAATCTTTTGTAACATTATAAACATCTTTACTGAACTTTTGATCAATTTAATGCACTGTAGATGAAGAAAAGCATAAATAAATAAATAAATAAATAAATGCACTTTTGAACTGAACAGTTTAAAGGAATATTTCGCCCTAAAACTATAATATTATAATTTAGTCATGTCTATAACATTCCAAACACAACGTTATTGTACATATTCAGATACTCAGAATATGCACATGTTAGACTACATTTAGAAATATATTTTAGTGGACAGTGTACAGTTCTTCAAAATGTATTTTATGTTCCACAGAAAAAAGAAAGTCATACAGGTTTGGAATGACACGAGTGTGAGTAAATGATGACAGAATGAGAAACTTAGTATTGTGAGGTATATTGTGAATGCTGAAAACAATTAGAAATGTTGAAAAGCAGTACTGACCCTTGACCGGGTTTGAGCAGGTGGAGTGGCCGGCCTTTCGTTGTCACTTCCTGTATCTTTCCTCTCGTCCTCCTGTGCGTAGGCTGGTGCCGGGACATCAGCGGAGGGCTCTTTATCCAGCAGCTGAGGGGTGATGGCGATCCCTCGTGCTTTCAGATGATCATAGGCTGTCCTCTCAGCCACTAGGAGGACCAGCGTGTCCCCGCTCTTGCGGACGAGGTTCACAACCTCCTCATGTGTGCTCATTTCCACATTCACCCCATTCACCTCCACAACAATGTCATCATCCTCCAATCCGGCTCTGTCTGCTGCTCCATCTTTCACCACCTGAGAGAAAACACATTAACAGGTTAATTAATCCCAAAATGAAATCAGTTACTCACCCTCATGTTCTATATCTGAAGGATGTCCACTCTTTTAATGAAAGTGAATAGGTGAATCTAACTCCAAAATCAAAATCAATTCTTCAATCGATGAAAATTTGGATCTAGTCATTCATTCATTTTCATTCATTCATTCATTCATTCATTCATTCATTCATTCATTCATTCATTCATTCAAAAATTACATGTTTTCTTATTTCTCATATATACCAGAGAACAGCAAATTGAATTGCGATCAGTGTTTCAGAATCTCAGACATAACTTTCATACACTCAAAAAAATCTTCAGACCTAAAGTTGGATTACGCTGTCAGTCATACATAAATACAATAGGTAAGAAAATAATCTGCACTCATAAAAAATTGTGGCATAGTTCATTTCTAACGATTTGCATCTATATGACTATTTAAAAATTAATATTTTTTCAAAACACATTAATTCAGATAAAATAAAATCTATAGTAAAATCTTAAAATCAGCATAAACCTTTTCATTGTGACAACAATTGAATTTATTTAGTTAAAAAGTATGAACATGGTTAATATGAATATGGCTAGACGTGGAACAAGCAATATTCAGTTAAAATGTATGGGATTTAATAATCAAATTATATGTATTAGTTTATTAATGTTAAATGGGTGGAATTCAAATGGATGAAAATTTTATATGAAATTCAAATACATAAATAAATGTATTAATATTATTTATAAATCTATTTATTATTATTATTATTATTATTATTTGAGTGCAGACTTGGAATATAAGGTTTATGGACAACATTTATGAAACTTTTATAATTCTTTTATGATACTTTTCTGGTATTTTGGAGCTTGAAAGACACTAGTCCCTATTCACTTTCATTAAATAGACAAGAACAGTTGGGATATTCTTTAAAAATTCTCATTTTGTGTTCAGCTGAAGAAAGAAAGTCACACAGGTTTGGAATGTCTTGAGGATACGTAAATAATGACAGAACCTCTGAACCTATTCAAAAACTGAGCCTAAAAATAGATCAAGGAGAGCTTTCTAGAAATGTCAGCACAGGTCATTTTGTCAGAGCCCACCTCTTTGATGTACTGTCCGTGAAGTCCCTGGATGCCATTGAGATGGAAACCAAATCCAGCAGCGGCCTTCTCCAGCCGGCACAGTTTGGGTTTGTGGTCCCCATCTGCTGGAGCAAGTGCCGCTGGAGCAGGTGTGGCTTCAGCTTCATGCTCAGGATAGCTGGGCGGAGATCCTCTCATTTCCTCCCAGTACAGAAGTGGAGAAACACCACCCTATACAGCAAAGTATTACACAATTTGATATGAAATGTAATTTAAGATTCAAATTTTAAATTGAAATATGCAATCACCAGTGTACTCTTCAGTAGCAGTGTAAATGTTTCAAATCAATGCTGCACTGCAGCAATCTTAGTGAATGAAAGGGACTCACCAATTTGTACATTTTCTCTGTTTCAGCATCCAGCACAAGGAGGGAGCACTTGTTTCCTTGTTGTGATATTTTTTCCACCACCTGTTCATGTCTGCAGTTATCTGTTTCCTGCCCATTTACGGCCACTAGTCTGTCCATATTCTTCAGTCCCGCTCGCTCCGCAGGGCTGCCTTTGTCTATTTCTCCAATATAATGGCCTGAGACAGAACACAAAATATGACATGAATCAAATATTAAAACATAAATCAAAACATTTTCTCAATTTATCTAGGGGTGACCATACGTCCTGGAATTCTAAATACATAACTGACCAAGCGTGGCATGCAAGAAAGTGAGATCTACAGAGAACATCCAAAGAATATGAATTTAACCAATTTAATTATTAATGTATTATTTAAAATTTTTTGTAATGAAAAATATTCATTAATTATACTGAAAAGCCAATGCCGGTAAAATAAGTTTTTGATTATATTTTTAAAATGCCCTCTTTTGCACCCTACATCATTTACTGTACAAAAGAACATATTGTGATATTAAATCATATTAAAATGCTAATCTTTTTTACTGCATCTAAGAGGCATTTCAGTAGATAACCTTTGCTTATCACTATACAGTATCATCAAAATTCCTCTGACTCACAGTTACGCAATGTCAATTATCCGGCACGAACACATTGCCCTTACACTGTAATAAACTTCAGTAAGTTCAATAGGGGTTATGCGCAACAGACTTCCGTATTCTGTTAACCGGGTCTCGTCGCTTCCGGTTCAAGCGTTTTGCATATGCTTAGTTAAATATGAAGCAGTTTTACTCAAGATGCCTTCAGAGTAGATACCAATGATGATCATAACCAATGTCCATCACATATGCGGACTGATATCTAAAAGTTTTTTTTTATTTTTATTCTTTTCACATTTAGATATAAAAATTGAATAAAACTTCAACAATAAAAACAGCTAGCTACTTTAACTGATTATCTTAAAAGTCCATCGATATCGCTATTATTTAATACGGCTGTTAACATGTTCTCCGACAAGCGGAAGCAATGAGACCTGTTTTCCGGGTTTGGTCAGGTGATGTTCGACATATACCCTATTGGCACCACCATGCTAGAAAGAAAAATAAACAGAAGAACTAATGAAAGTAATGCAGTGGTAATGCAAAGAGAATCAGGGCTGCTAACACCAAACGTCCATGATCCAAGAAATTACAGTCCTGCTGTATTTCCCCTGAGTTCAAGTCTTCAAGCAGTGCACTTAACCTCAGGTTGCTCCAGAGAGACATCTATGCAATTAGTGTGCTGTAAGTCACTTTGGATGACATAAAATAAAGAATGAAAATCTTAAAGCCTACAAAAGAATGAATAAATAGCTTGTGACCTATTTAAAATTCAACAGCTCTTTTACATTTCTTGGCAGGTCAGATACAGGTGCACTGCTATAACATTTCCCTCAGCAGGAACCAAAAGATAAGCCACCAAGACAAATCTGACAAGAACATACAGAAAGGAACATGGAACTTTTGGAAAGCCTCACAAATACTGTTTTTTGGCAGCGGCTATTTGCACTAAGTGTAAATAGCAATTCGATTATATTTACACTAAGTGCAAATATCATATTTTCTTAGCAATAGATGCTATTTACACTAAGTGCAAATAGCGATAGATGCTATTTACACAGTGCAAATAGCAATAGATGCTAATTACACTAAGTGTAAATAGCAATTAGATGCTATTTACACTAAGTGCAAATAGCATATTTTCTTAGTGATAGATACTATTTACACAAAGTGCAAATAGCAATGGATTCTATTTACACTAAGTGAAAATAGCAGTATTTTTTAATGATATGCTATTTACACTAAGTGCAAATAGCTATAGATTCTATTTACACTATGTTAAAACAGCAATATTTTCTGCTATTTACACTACTTATTGCAAATAGTAGCAATTATCTGCACCTCAGTATTTTAGTACATTATAAAACAGTACACAATAATAATGTATTGAGTGTAAATTATAATTTTAATTCAAATTATTAAACAGATGCCACCTTATTGGGACAATAAAAACCTCCCTACACCTACCCTAACCCTACCCGATACTTTATTTTCAACTTTTTGATTATTTCCTTCATTTGCGATATGAGATTTGAAATGGGAGAAAAATAGTTCGGCAAAAGGCAGGTTCGAACTCGGGTCAATCACGTCAAGAAGTGTAAAAAGTTCCTTACCATCTACGCCACTGAAACTGATATTTGACAAGCGTCTTTTTTCAGTGTTGACTATCCCAATCAGACATTGGTGGGCGGAGTTAGTGTAAATAGCCTTTGCCAACAAGGCGGGCTATTTGCACTTAGTGTAAATAGACACTCTGTTTTTGAAACTGTCTTTTGAACAACTGAAGCAGATGTAATTTAGACTACAATTAGGCTAAATTTGACAATTTTAACACAATGTGCAATAGACTAAATTTGTATTTCATGTTGACTTCCACACCATGGCAAGCACTTACCTGCATGTTTAGGAACTTCCTTCAGGATAAAGCCATAGCCATCTGCTCTCTTGGTCATGTCTGCAATGCGTGGCTTATGCGGGAGGTGCTTGACAGTGGCATAAGCCGTGCTTGGTCGAATGCCTTTGCCTTTGAAGAATCTGTCAGCGTCCTCATCCACCAACAGAAGCATCACTTTGTCCCCGGTTGCTTTCACCTACAATAACAACAGGACTACATTATTATAATATTTTTTCTCAAACACTGATAGGGTAAAACAGTAGAGTCAAGGTCTTCAGCAGCATCCATTCAGTTTGCACTCAGAAGTTATTGATATTTTGAAGAATCTTGGTAACCAAAAAGTTCTGGGTCCCATTGACTTCCACTGCATGGACAAAAAACACAGAAGTCAATGGGAGCAGGAACTGTTTGATTACCAACATTATTCAAAATATCTTCTTTTGTGTTCCACAAAATAAAGAAAGTCATACAAGTTTGGAATGACATGAGCATGAGAGAAAGATGACTGAATTTTCATTTTTGAGTGGACTATGCCTTTAAAGCTTCTCTAAAATGGTTACTGCATTATCCAATTGGTGATAAAGAGCGCAGAGGCGGACAAAGTACTCAACTCCATTAGTCCAACACCTATTGTGTTTTATTAGGAGATGCACAACAGTTTTTCTGTGGCTTTATAGGTAATATTTTCACGTGCACAATTTAGCAAAATCGGACAATATTGTGTCTAATATATACCACAATATTAATTTCTTATTATTAAATTTTGTAAATAAATATCACATTTGCAGCTGGTCAGTGTTCAAAAAATGCTGGGAAATCACTTCATGTAGCCCTACAAGAGTGATTACTGATAAAATTATCTGAAAAAAAGACCGTTTTTAGAGAAGAAAGAAATCACCCACTGACTTTCAAAGCTGCTAACGACTTTCTACTTCGAGGACCTTCATAGAAATGTAGTGGAGTGAAAAGTACAATATTTGTCTTTCAAATGTAGTGAAGTTAAAGTCATAAGTTTCCAGAAAAAATAATACTCAAGTAAAGTACAGATACTCAAAACGTGTACTTAAGTACAATACTCAAGTAAATGTACTTAGTTACTGTCCGCCTCTGTAAAGAGGTAATGTTAGACAGGAGTTATTGCAGCTAGGATTAAAGCATAATTTTAATTTACCTTTTGCACAATCTGATCATGTGAGAGACTCTCAACATTCTCACTGTTTATCTCCACTATACGATCATCAAGTTTCACACCGGCCTGATCAGCTTCTCCTCCAGACATCACTTCTGTCATGAATATGCCCTTAGTACCTGCGAGAAAACAGAGTTAGATCAAAAAACTCCGTTAGTACTTCATCTCACGTGTCATCTGAAATAATTCCAACAATGATCAACATCGATTGATTTATGATTTATCCAAAACAGGCATTAGAAATTAGTTAACGTTTGACTTTCTCAGTCTTGGATGACCATTCGCTGATTGTCGACAGCACTGGAAAAGACTTTCTTGAGCTGGCAAGCTCTAATCCCTTTAGCTGACCATGAGAATTTTTGAAAATGAACTAATGACAGGATTTACCAAAGTTCGGCAGATCAGAGGCAAATCTTTCAAATATATTAAAATTGACTAATTTAACTAGATTTACTGCTTTGTTTTCTGTATTATAGCTGTGAAACAATCTGCACTTACTATACTCTTATTTTTTATTATGATTCCATTAAGAGTCTTTGTAACATCCATGGACCCTTTTCTATTGCACAGAATGTTCTTTATAATGAAAAAGAGCTCTTCAGATTATTAAACTGTTCTTCAAACTAAGAAAAACAAATCTTTTTAGAAGGTTCTTTGGGGAACCTAAAATGGTTCGAATTTATATTTTCATATAAACCTGTCTCTAAATGGTACGTAAAATCAAATATGTGATTAGTCGCTTGTACATGTTGGTCAGATGGTCTATTATTCTAAGTAGTCAGTTCTTGGCCCAAATAGGCATTACTGTAAACAAGATCATATGATGTTACTTAAGAATCTGGCTATGGGAGTTTTTGGCCTACCTTTGGTGGACTTTAAAGAGAAACCAAATCCGCTGCTGGATTTTTGCAGATAACAAAGCTTGGCTTTAGCGGCTGGTGCAGACACTCCATTCATGGTGGGCTGGCTCTGACCTGACTGGGACTGAGTGTCAGCAAGATTCACACCGTTGGCTTTGGCAGTCTTATATGCCTCTTCTCCAAGGACATGCAATGTGACGCTCATCCCACTCTTTCTCACCAAATCTGCAACCTGACCCATGAAAAAGACAGGTCTGAGGTTTACCACCAAACTATTGAAATAAATTATATTGAAATAAATAATATAGGATTTACAGAAAGTCGATTTTCAAATGCATCAAACCTGGCTGTGCTCCAAAATGTCCACAAAAGTTCCATTGACTCTGACTATGCGGTCTCCGTCCTTCAGACCGGCCAGTTCAGCCGCGCCGCCCATCTCCAGGGCTCGGATCAGGTGACCCTCCTCGCCGTGCTCCACTCGGAGGTAGAAGCCATAGCCCTGACCCTCTCGCTTGGTCAGAGTAATGATACGTGGTTTTGGCCCAGCCATTTTCCCTGTTAGGAAACATCTATCGATCAGTGTTGCTTTTACGCTGAGGTCATCTAACGTGATAATATGCTCGTCTTGGTACATCTGATGCTATCTTATCATAGATGCACACAATTCATTATATACCAGTCATCTGGTGATAAAACTGATAATCACAATTAAGCAATGAAGTGCGAATGAAGTGTGTGGAGACCAAATTTATTTCTCACAATATATAGCAGTGTTATAATGACAAAATATTGTGAGTTAAATCACAGGTGTTAGTAATCAATGAAAGCAGACTGGTGCAGATTAGACACAGAGGTGAACATGATTATATAATCTTATGTTCTTCAAATGGAGTGATAACTGGGGTAATATAGAATTATCAAAGACCATATAATCACCGCCCTGTGTTAGGGTGTACCTGCTGAACTACATCACTGAAGGCTTAAAGTCAACGTAAAATGACATTTAAAAAATAATTTACTTATATTTCTGGGTATTCAAAAATACATAAGATAAAAAAACATTTCAGAGGCAGAGCAAGCATATATATATTTAATAATGATAAATGAAATCATATTAAAATATTAGAGCAAAGAATATTGTATTAAAATAATGTACTATTTGCAATAAACATTTGATCTTTTTTTATGAATATTATGCCCTAATTAATCATGCACAATAAGGCCTAGAATGTGCATTAACAAATGTAGTACATTGTGATTTCATGTTAAATTTAAATAGAAGCAGAGCAAATAAATAAACACATAAGAGAGTGAGCACTCTGATTCTACAACTATTAATTTTTAAAGTGCCTGAATGTGTTTGTGAAAGCACATTTTGCTTTAAAACGCTTGCACCTTGTCTCTGTAATTACCGATGACAATCAATCAATCAATCAATCAAGTTTATTGTGTTTTAGAGTGAGTTTTAGAGTGCGTGCATGCTCTGACTTCACAATTGTTAACAAAGTTGTATGTGTTCGGTGAAGTATTTTTTTCTAACATGTACCTTGTACAGTACCTTGTCTCAGTAATTACGAATGCCGATCATGAAATCTTTACAAAACAATAGACACAATTGGGAGGAACCATCATCAATGCTTTTAAGGCTTTAGAAAGATTGCCTATAGCCTTGGTTCATTTTGATAAATGTTTTACCCGGAGAAAAAGCGCAAGCATCTAGCTGTAGGTTCAAGTTCAACAGATGCCATATCAATTACACAATACCTCACACATAAGCTGAGAGCTGAAGTACACTTCTCACACTTGAGTGCTCCATGAACTGCTCTATGAGCTGCTAATGCGTTCACATCATCACATTATGCCAAAAACCAACTCCTTGCTGCCGTTTAATAATTAATGCAACTTGCGTCAAGTTTCCCATCTGTACAAATAATATGAAAGCAAGCATTTCACTTAAGCCATCAAACTGCATTATAAAATTTCTCAACATGATTCCCAGGGTGTCATTGCTTAAATTTAGGTGGTCTGGATCAACGTTTCTATTCTATTCTATTCTATTCTATTCTAAAAAATGTATTCAAATGACATCACTCTGAATACATTTTTAAAATAGTAAGGTACACATCAAAGCACATCTTTCTTTCTCAAAGCACATGATATTTCTAAAGGTACATCTATGTTGTGTCACTCACCAGCTGCAGTCTCCTCAGTGTCCCGGTGTAAAGGAGGTGGCTGCCTGCTTCTGCTCAGGTGTTATCTAGCGCTGCGTAAGTGTATGTGAAGGACTTTGACAGGCCAAAGGTTGATCTAAACGGTGAATTATTTAACCATGTCCCGTGGCTGGAGGCTTATTCTCTGTTGCTATGAGTGACCATATTCTACCCTAAAGAAATTCAAACAAAAAAATCATGTTTTTAATAAGACATCTTCATTTGCAAATCTGAAGTCTGCGCGGATATTTTTATTCACTATATTTTCTTGGTTTACTGGGCTGTAAGAGTGTGTTCACATTAAGCACTACAGCATGCCATTTGTGATAGTTGGATGGCTCTATATTTTAATGTCATCTAGTCCACAATATTAAAATCCAAGCAAAGTAACCAAACTGCAGAACACCTTGAAGCATTAAAATCCACCTCAATTTTTGTCTGTGAGAGATTTTAATTTAAATAAAAAATACTGTATATACATTTTTAAAATAAGTTTTTTTTTAAATTACATATATTTGTATGTTTTTTTGAGCAATGTCTTTGCATTTATTTGATCAAAATACAGTAAAGCAGTAATATTGTGAAAGATTACAAATTAAAATAATTGTTTTCAGTTTTCAAATATTTAATGTAGTTTATTCCTGTGATGGCAAACCTGAATTTCAGCATCATTTCTCCAGTCTTCAGTGTCACATGATCCTTCAGAAATCATTCTAATATACTGATTTGTTACTCAAGAAACATCTCTTTTTATTATTAATGTTAACAGTTTTTGATGCTTAATATTTTGTGGAAACCATGATGCACTACTATTCAAAAGCTTTAGGCAATCAATCAACCAACCAACCAACCAACCAACCAACCAACCAACCAACCAACCAACCAATCAATCAATAAATAAATAAATAATGTATTTCAAATGAATGCTGTTCTTTTCAGCTTCATCACAGAATCCTGAAAAAAATGTATCATGGTTTCCACAAAAATATTAGACAGTGACAACTATTTTACTATTTTCAACATTTATAAAAATAAGAAACAACTGAGCATCAATATAATATACTGATAATAACATATCAGCATATTACAGTTTCTGAAGGATCATGTGACATTGAAGACTGGAGTAATGATGCTATAAATTTTAAGATTTAGCTTTGCATTACAGGGATAAATTACATTAAAAGTTTGAAAATGTAAAACAACTATTAAAAATTGTAGTAATATTTCACAATATTACTGTTTTTGCTGTAATTTAGATAAAATAAATGTTTTAGTGAGCATACAACACTTTGTTAAAAAAATATATACAGTTGTGCTCATAAGATTACATACCCCTTGCAGAATATGTAAATATGTTAATAATTGTAAATAAATAAGAGGGATCATGAAAATTGCATGTTATTTTTATTTAGTACTGTCCTGAATAAGCTATTTCACATAACATATGTTATATATACTCCACAAGACAAAATAATAACTGAATTCATAAATAAATGACGTCAAAAGTTGACATACCTTGAATCCTAATAATTTTTTCCTGGATGATCCATGACTGTTTTTCTGTGTTGTGATAGTTGTCCATGAGTCCCTTGTTGGTCCTGAGCAGTTCAACTGTCTGCTGTTCTTCAGAAAAATCCTCCAGCTCCTGCACATTCTTTGGTTTTCCAGCATCTTCTGCATATTTGAACCCTTTCCAACAGTGACTGTATGATTTTGAGATCCATCTTTTCACATGGAGGACAATTGAGAGACTCGTACACAGCTATTACAAAAGGTTAAAACATTTACTGATGCTCAAGACGGCAACACAATGCATTAAGAGCCAGAGTAAACTTTTGAACAGGATGATGATGTGTACATTTTTTTAAATTTTGTTTAAAGATCTTTTCTTTTTTTTCCATTTGGAACTGCGCTTAAGAAGCTACATAAATACTTAAATGTTTCCCAGAAGACAAAATAAGTACAATTTACCCTGATCATCCAATTCAAAAAGTTTACACCACCCAGCTCTTAATGCATTGTGTTGCCTTCTTGAGCATCAGTAAATGTTTCCACCTTATATCATAGTTATGTATGAGTCCCCCAATTGTCCTCCATATGAAAAGATGGATCTCAAAATCATACAGTCACTGTTGGAAAGGGTTCAAATATGCAGAAGATGCTGGAAAACCAAAGAATGTGCAGGAGCTGGAGGATTTTTCTGAAGAACAGCAGACAGTTGAACTGCTCAGGACCAACAAGTGACTCATGAACAACTATCACAACACAGAAAAACAGTCATGGATCATCCAGGAAATGACACACATTATTAAGATTCAAGGGTATGTAAACTTTTGAATGGGGCCATTTTTTATGAATTCAGTTATTATTTTGTCTTGTGGAATATATGTAAACATCTGTTTTGTGAAATAGCTTATTCAGGACAGTACTAAATAAAAAATAACATGCAATTTTCACGATCCCTCTTATTTTGTTAAAATTATTAACATTTGGCATATTATGCAAGGGGTATGCAAATTTATGAGCACAACTGTATATTAAAAAAATCGATGTATACATTTTCTTTAAAAATATGTTATTACTTTTTGTTAATGTATATATAATTCTAAAAATTACAGATTAAATTCAGTCAGGCTAAAAAACATCCATTAAGGGTTGATACCATTCCCTTCATGATCACAAGACGATTACAAAAAAAAAAAAAAAAAAAACCGGAAGCAGGTGCCACAATGTTTATTACTCTCTCTATTCCAATAAAGAACAGATGCTTGTGCAAATAACTGGGATCATGGCACTGATTCACGGGTCAGTCTTCTGGTAAATCATGCCCTCTTAACGTAATTGCTGTTTTCAGTGGGCCACTCAAATGATCTGAGTATTAGCGAACTCATTAAATCTAAATCCTAAATCCTGTGACAGAGTCAAGTGAGGAAACCAGTCTGGACCATGAGTGTGTGATAATCACAAATTTGTTTGTATTGCCTTTGCAAATGTGCACAGACTCAGGCACTTTATTTAGATCTGAAGGCTGTGCTTGAACTGCTCATCAGTTATAGGCCTATAAAATGGCCAAATAAAACACCTGACCAAACAGATCAAAATCTATGAAGCCATAGACAAGCAATGATAATAATTTTACTATCATACAAAGTGCTATCATATTACTGAATCAAATGATCATAAACTCTTCAATATAAGAAGTTTAGACTCTGGTATACACTCATCTAGATATTCATATTCATGTTAAATAACTGTAATATCTGTATAACTTTCAAATGTAAAATGTGACCTATGCATTATGACTCACAGGATAAATAAATTTCTTGAATGTGCAAAGTTAAAAATAGAAATGAATAAAATACTTACATATTTCCAATATCTATTTTATGTTATTTTATTTAAGTCAATCATTTTAGAGAAGTGCCACATAGAAATGTATGATCAAAACTAAACGTACCATGAGAAATGTTCACTGAAGTTTGTGACAACTACACCTGGTCTGTTCTATGAATATTTATTAATTTAGGACGAAACGGCGTGCAATATATTAATACTAAAAGACATTATGTCTGTTAGAATGTTTGAAATCTTATAAAAAATACACTTAATGTCTTTTCAAAATGGAAAAGGACAAAAAACAAAAAAGAAAAATCCAGACAAGATCTGCTTCCACAAGAGGGCGCCGATGCTTTACTCCACCTGCCTTATCATTCATAACTTTCCTTAAATCTCCATGTGCGCGTACTCCACAAACTCCCTTCAATGTCTCCTCCTCTCCAGGATGCTCAAATCCCTGAATCCCACCGGCTCACCCCCAAACTCCCACCCCTGCTGTTTAAGAGCTCATCAATAAACCCTCAGCTCAGTCCACGCGTGAGAAGAGACTCAGTGGCGCTCCGCGCTTCATCACATACCCATACAGAGCAACTGTGCCTTCAACACACCGCTGAGCAACAACGCTTTATTTCAGCATGAGCTAATCTAATTTCTCCCTTCTTACCTTTTTATTGATTCTAAATTTATCCTCTTTCAATTCCTGCTCTCTAAGCAGCTCTTTGCGCTCTCATTGTTGACGGATGACTGCGAGGAAACACTAATATAAAATAGTTGTGGTTAGGTCCGAAATGGATTTGCAAACGCTAAATGATACGTCTGGGATTTGGGAATGCCTTCAGCTTCAGAACAGCTCTGTTCTGAACGGGACCTTAAACGGGAGTCTGGAGATTCCCAACGGCACCTGCGGAGACGCGCTTCTGCTGCCCAAGACGGAACCGGCGCGACCCAAAGGTGAGAATCCCCCGACACACACTCGGCACCAGACCGCTGCTTCAGCCGCGTTCGTTCAAGACACTCGTTCCCCTTCTTCACTATGAGGTACCAAAGCTAGTCATGGCCCTGTTTTGACATTATGGAGAGGTTGAAGCATCCTCCAATGGCTTGAAGTAAACTCAGGAAGTGTTTGGGGCTGTTAAAAGTATATAAAACATTTCAGTAAGCGCAGAAGTTAGATTGCAAGTTTTAGTTGGAACGCACTAAATACAGTACACGCTCGCAAATAGAAGCGTTCGCCTGAGGAGGTAACCATAGTAACAGTAGGCTACTCTGCGCTTTCCGTACGGTTCCTGAAAAATATACAGGCAATACATCACTTTATGACATATTTAGGTGTCACAAGTAGCCTATATAAAAAAAGTTAGATAGATACTCGACGTTTGCGTTCTGGGAGCGCCACATTCGGTTGCGCAAGACGAACCTGAAAGATTGCTTCATGAAAATCAGGTTACTGAGAGAAATGTCCTTAAATTTCCACCCCCCCAAAAGTCACTAAATATTTCGCATACTGGAAATAAATGGCATACCACGCCATGTTTTTGTCCTTAAACCTTGCACTCCTTACCTTTGAGTAAGTAGAAAACGACATGGTAATCATTCAGCATCTATGGAATATCTTAAATTATCAAAGCGTTGCTATATAATACTACAATCACTGTACCATGGGGTGTTAGGAAAAGGACAATGCTTGTTATATCTTGGG